AAATTCAAATTCAAATTCAAATTCAAATTCAAATTCAAATTCAAATTCAAATTCAAATTCAAATTCAAATTCAAATTCAAATTCAAATTCAATTCAACTGATTTGTTGTATTGAAGGATCTTCACAGTTGACCATCAAAGAAAAACTACAGTCATCTACTTCTGATACTCCTCATTCTGGTTCGCAACAAGGTTCATCGTCGTCATCAGTTGTTTTGGCTGTGGGTATTGGTGTTGGTCTTGTTGTTCTTATTGTAATTCTCATTGCTGTCGTCATAGTGTTTCAAAGGAAAAGGTAAAGCATTGAAAACTAGTCTGCAAAACTGTTCTTCTTTTTTTCCATTCTTAGACATTCATCCCATTCTATTCTAAACCCTTTGTTAAGTAAACCCTGATTGTTAGTCATGCTCATAGCCTTCAGTGCATAGAGACAATCTAGTGTGATATTGCACAACATTCATTAGGGAACCAGCTGTTCCTTTGCTAGCTATTGATGATGTGTTCTGAAACTTCTATTCTTCCTAGAGCACAACAAAACAATGAAGCAACAACATCTCAGTATGAGCAATGTTTTGAGATGCAAGGTGATGGATCTGCAGGACAGTCACTGYCAGATAATGAGGCAGGCGTGGATGAGAATGACCAGGTATAGGATGCATAGTAGCAATATGAAATAACTGTTGATACTAGAGTACAAACACTAAAATTGTGCAACATAAATACTACTAAATACTGCTAAATTATGCTAATAATTCTATTGTTTTCTATTGTAATAAATAGTGGAAAGTGTTGCACACATAATTAATGTTTGTACTCTAGCTCCCCCTTCCCTCCCTCCCTATTTCTTTTGTTCCATCTCTCCCTCCCTCTTCTTACTTTTGTTTATTTCATTTGTTTATCTATTCATTCATGCATATAAACTTTGTGTTGTTTCAGACTCATGAGTCTACCAATGTTTTGTATGAATCCAGCAATGTAACGCAACAGACATTTGACAATCCTCTGTATGAAACCAATACTGACCTCGAAGAACTTGTTATCTAGAAAAACAGATTCTTGGTTTTCTATTATCCTAGCACTAATTTTTTWAAAACTTTTTCATGAATTTCGTTTTTTTTACTTTCTCTATTTTAATGTTATACTTTGTAATATTTTGTTGTTTTTTTCAATAAAAATAATTAAAAATATTGTTTATATTTTGGGCTCCCTGTGTATTGGTTCGTTTCCCAATGCAACTTGGGTAAATTCTTCTGGCAACAAAATGGCGGCTAATGCAAAAGTTGTTGTTGTATAAGTTCGGTAACTACCGTCCACCTGTAAGCATTAACGGCGTCYCATTCKACTRATATTCAAAGAAACCAACATGGCAGCGAAGAGAGTCGAAAGTTATCTAGATTACCACAAGATTGGACCGCTTTTTGAGGTAAAACGAAGAAAGGAGTTTAGTTGTTATGACTCCCATATAAAACAATATTCGTGCAATCGTATAAAAAATCTTATGTGTTGTTTTATAAGGATTTGATGGCCAAGTTAATTAAAGACATGCCAGAACAACCAATACCTTTTCTAATTAAACTATTAAAGAAACACAGCCCAGAGGACAATGTAAGTGTTGATTGTATTTTATTAGTTGTAAAAACCAACTGCTAACCAGCAATACAGCGGTATTCCGTCGATTGAATAAAGAACAGAGAGGCTTGATGTTAGCATTAGATGTTAAACTGTATTTAGTTTTACATGTGCTAAGATAATGAATAATGCAATTCTATTGGTTGCTATCATGCAGATACCTCACAGCCGTCCCCCGTCAGGTAGTAAGTCAAGATCTCCTATGTCTAGCAGTATGAGYTTGAGTGGTAAACCTGTGCCCCGTCAATCACTGGACGACAGTCGTAAGCATATGTTGTTAGAGTGTCTATATAGTAGTATTKTGTCTATTGTGAATGAGAAAAATAATTACTGTTGTAGTTGAGTTTTGCAATCTCCTTTTCAGCTGTGTTAGCCTCAATTGTGTGCAAAATATTCAGAAATTTAAATAAAAYTTGTGAAAATTCAAACTATTTCCATTCCCTGCTATACTCACAAATCTCTTGCATATACACGGACTGTTAGTGAATAAATGAATTTATTACATGGTTTTGAGGTAAAAGAAATTGCTAAAAGGGTTTATTGTAGGTGAGTTCAAGCGAAGTGCTTTGGCCAAGTCATGGGCCGCACCAGATACTCGTGACARACCAACAAGTGCAAGCAAGTCACGTGAATATGACAGACCATGGCTGCATGGCAGTAAGAAGGGCAGAGGGGAGCAGTCTCACTCTAACAAAGAAAATTCCAAACATGGTATGGTTTTATAGGTCTTATAAATATTCCTCATCCTTTTTCACTTAAATAGTTCTGTATTTTTAGTGATAAATAATTATTATTGTATTAGTGTTTTATGCAAAATTAAAAAAAGTATGTGATTTTGAAATCTTATTTTACAAATAAACATTATTCTATATCTTTTTTCATAATTTTTATAACTATCTTTATAAATTTCGTAAAGCGCATCAGAACTTCATTGATATTTTGCACTATATAAATACTATTTATTATTATTATTATTATTATTATTATTATTATTATTATTATTATTATTATTATTATTATTATTATTTTGAAAAGTGCCATTAAAAGTTTAAAATGAATTATTATTAATCACGGTTAATTGTAGGAATAAAGAGATCAGAGGAGAGACCTAGTTCATGGAATCCTGATACCAAAGTCTCATATAATGACTTTGACGAATGGTTTGAAGCAGAAAATAAAAAGCAAAAGGGTGCAGGACATACTGGACCAACTGTACAAGACACAGAATCTAGTAAGTTGTTACTTATCTTGTCCCATTCATTTTTCAATATTAATTTTCATACAGAATATTAACTTTTTATTTTGTCCTTTAATATTTTCAAATAATTGATATCTTTTCTTTATCCTTTTTATAGAGCAGTCTTGGCACGATAATCATGATGAGTTGGTATGTAGTCTATAAGCATCATATGTCCATTATTCAATCTCAATCACTAAATCCATATTACTTGTTATTCAATTAGGATACCAGTATGGATAAGAGGGGTATTGGATATCCGCTTCATGTAAATATTAAATCAAGGCAGACTCCACCACAAGCTGATGCTGATGACCTGGAAGGGGAGGAGATTAGTTTCTCTAGACACAGGAAGACCAGAGGAGARAGCAGTGAAGGGAACTCTGTGGCCTCTGACAGGTGAAGATCATGATACATAAAGATGTATTGAATGATATGAAATTTCACTAATAAGTAATATATACAATATGAGCGGGCGATCTGTATGAGGATTTAAAACAGCGAGCTGAAAGTGAGCTGTTTTAAACCTCATGCAGATCGCACGCGAATATTGTATATTACTTATGAAACGTTAAGGTAAATTAGCTMAGGTTTTAAAGAAACTTTTGAAAAAAAAATTCAATCTGACTGAGAAAATCAGAGTAAAAGTTTATGCAAATGAACAAGAAATCTGTATGTAATATACAACTCTCTTCATGGGCTATGATTTCTATTGTGTTTTGCCTTATGAATATTAATGAGTTTTATAAGAAGTGATTCTAATCATGAATGTTTAACTACACAATAAAACACATTAAAGATTAATATTGATTATTATTCTAAATACATAATATTTCCATAGTAAATGAAATTATCATTTCGGAAATAAATAAAGATATTGTTTTTGAGGAACTGCAAGTATTATTTTTGTTTATTTATTTTAGTAGTTCTGGGAGATACAGCAAGAAGAATGCAAGRCATGCTTCAAAGGAGCATCGTAAACAACTTGAATCTCTGCTGTTCAACTCCAGTGATGCCTCATGTCAATCAYGRCATCATGGCAAACKGTCAGATGAAGACAAGGATTATGGGACTGAACTTTTAGGTAAGAATYAATTAAATAATAGCATTCATTATTAGTAATGTGATCTGTACTGAATGGCTGAATATGAAGTTCCACCTAGAAAACAAGGCAATGAATTCTCCTAAGAAAAAAAAATCTTTTGTTTTGTCCCCAGTTACATTCTAAACGTCACATGCTAAGGGTCTATTGCTAACCACAGCCAATTGTTTTCAGTTATTTTTGGAAAGCAGGGGTTATTTATAAGTATATGTGATAATAGTAGTGTCCACAATAGTTGAATTTAAGATGTGTGGATATGATTTCAGAAAGTCCCAATGAATTAGAGAATGAAGGTGTAGCTAATCCAGTAAACTCTGGATACAAAGTATCAAAAGGTTTGAAGTCAGGAGCATCTTCACAGGAATCAGTCAAAGTCAGCATCTGTGCCCGGTGTGCAAGGTAAAGACCCAATTATACAGCAGCATGGCTTCTCATTTATTATTATTTATTATTTTTTAATGATAATTATTATTGTTGTCTGAACAAGTGTTTGTTGTTTAAACTTTTTTATCAGAATCATCTCAGGGATGCCGAGTGATCAAAGATCAGATGGTACTGTGATCTGTATTATGA